AAAATGAATTCAGTAGTGGACCAACATCTAACATAACAGTTGCTGTTTTTACATGCTCTTTGACTACTCAAACTTCTTTTGCAGAGCGGACGATAAGTTCATTTTGAAAACAATGCAAAGTTAAGGAAGGTCCGTACGCAGATTCTGGAAACATGGCTTCACCATCAGCAAAACTTGATTTTGTGATTAACATCGTGCTTTCATGAGGGGTTTGAATCTTGGTGCCCTAGATAAATTCAAAAGAAACATTTCGTATTTTTATTTTCCTCAGTGAAAAATTGCTAACTTCCTCCAATTATGGCAAAATTTATGCGAAGCGATTACGAATAAAGCTTAAAGATATAAAATTTTCAGCGGCAAACCTCAGTATTTCTGTGAAAATATAAATAAAAGTCAGCAAAAATTGTTCTACCTTCTACTCTGGCGTAATAATCCTCATCAATCAGAAGTGGCTCAATGACCACCAGAATTTTGTGCACATATGGACGAACCAGGTCATCCAACTTGTACAGTATACGGTCGATTACCTGTAATGAGAAATTGGAACCTGATTCGATCATAAGTTATAGCAAACATAACTAGCACTATTCTACTGCTACATAAATAAAGTACAAAAATTCTTTGCGTGTGTAGACAGCACTGCTTCCACAATCGCATTTTCATTGGCATATGATACTTACCGAAACTTACCACTTGAGAATCTGCGGCCACGATTCCCCTTGCTCTGCGCGTCACTCTAAAAGCGCACGTGCAAAGAGGGAATTTTTAAAATGGTGTTAGGTTAGTACCTATTGATAGCAAGCTGCTCATATTACAGGGCTCGGCACTCAAACACAACGCGAACTTTATTTTAAACGCCTGCAGCTACTGCAGGGAAGTCATGAATAACTGTTCTTGAAAGCGCTTGAGAAATGTAGTAGTCATTTCTAGCACAAGCATATTGCAACCGAGCCCCGTTTTTACTTATTCTCTCCAGTAATAAAGCATTTTTTAAACAACAATCACCTTGACTTGTGAGCTTATCTCCAACCAAATGACAATTTAGGCTTTTAATCTTACCTTAACCATAAGATGTCGCTCCTGATCTTCTAACGAAGGTGACATCAAAAGTGGAAGAATCTGATTAAATAGTGGCCCTGCACCATATTTTCTGGCGTTTTCGGTAATCTAAATGAGAAAAATTGCAGCTATGTCCGTTATAAATATAGATAAAACAAAAAATGAAACAGAAAAAATTAGCAGCGAAATTTCCATTAACAATTAATACCTTTCTCAAACCACTCTTCCTTTGTGGCGGCAGACCATTTTTGATTTTCAACAGATGGGTCATAATCTCACGCTCGTTCAGCTCTTCTTTTGTGAGAGTGCCTAGAAAACAAATCGTGATAGAACATGAATAAAAAATCATGGGAAATGAGAATATTGCAAATTTCTTACTTTCATCAACATCCATCAACAGCTTATCGAAGTACTGCATATCATCCGGTTTAAGGGGTGGAAGATCCTGATTTTTCGGTTGGGTATCCAAGATACCACCCACACCTAAGCATAAGAATAAAGGCGTTATTCGCAACAAAATCTGTATATTACTACTACAAGATAGTCAACGAACTTTTCCAACAATTCTCACCTTTATCACCAAGCCCATCTCTCTCTGGGGTGCCTTGCATAAAAAATCCGCCAGCAGCTATTCCACCCAAAGGCGTTGGAGTAGCCATGAGTTTACGTGTTGGAGTTCTCAAAGGCATGTAACCTGCCGGAGGTGGAAGAATCTAGAAAGTTTGCAATAAAGACAATTCTCACTGCACTTTCATTGTATCTCAAGCTTTCGACCCACTTTGTATCCCGGTGGAAACAGCGCGTCTAGCTCTTCATCACTAAGCGCACGATTCCTATCATCCAGCTCTTTCTCCCACAAGAAATTTTTCATCTGTTCTGGAGTCATAGCTACCGGTGCCATGGGAGTTTTCA